CTAAAACTGCTTCAAACTCTTACTCAGCATAGCAGGGTGCTAGGTGCAGACCTGGACTGTTTAAGAAAACAGTCTAGACAGAAAAACACAACAAAATAAATCTGAAGAAAATGGGGCAAAAGACAAGACAGACAATGAGCACAAAATTGGGGGAGACAGGCAGAGAGAGCAACACTTGTAGTGGGCTCCAGACAACTCTCCATCCCATCCCGTGGGGACGAGCACCAGCAAAGGGGGAACAACTCAACCCTCGGCTCCGGTTCTGAGTGATATTGTAATGAGCCAGTTTTACTGGCCCTTCAACAAACCCCCCCCCAACACACACACACCTCAACCAGCTCCCAAGGCCCCTGAGCGGCTCGCTCCATTCCGTTTCATCACACTTCAAACGGGCCTGACGCGCTCCGCAGTCCTGCAACAGACCAGGGGACCGCAACATCTGCATGAGGTGGGAGGAGGGGAGGCGTGTCTCACGGGGGAACACGCAGTGTCTCGGAGCAGATGTCACATGAACCTGAACAGCAGGACGGGGGAGGGATGCCGTGAGGCACACTGCAACAGGTTGAGAGAGAGAGAGAGACTGTTCCAGCATTGTGGCATCCCCCTGTTCCTCTTGCTGCACGGGGACCATATGATTCAGATCTTTCCCTGTCGTTGCCCCCTTCTGCCCCCTTTGACAATAAAATTAGGTAATTAGTTACCCTTGCCCTAATAAGCTAATCATGGTCCATGTGCTTTTTTCATTATTAAAGTCGTGTCGTCCCAGGGTGCTCCCTGAGGGCTTCTCGTGCCGTGCAGGAGATGGTGAGGACACCGGGGTGGGTCCGGCTGGGAGAAGACACGCTCCAGGCCTTTGTTTCAACAGTCCCTCTGGCACAGAAAGCCATGCGTCACGGACCCACCACAAACAATCACTTGAATAAAATAAACAGACCTCTTAAGGGAAAATCAAACTGTCTGTAGCATCACTTAACATTAGCACCATTTCACCTCTCCCTTGTTACAAAGGCCTGGTGCTTTTTTTAAATGCCATGTCAGGAGCAAAGAAATGTTAAATTACAAAAACAATTAACTCTAACTATATAGAATAATAACCTTTTTTATATGCCTAAAGGTTCAGTCACATTTACTGTTGCACGGCAAAATTTCACGGGTGAAATCCAGTCATTTCACTAGGAATATTTGAGTTTCGCATGAAGACGGAAGAGTTCCCCATGTAGATTATGCTCATGTTCCAAGTTGGTCATGTGAATTCACTGCATTGAACTATATAATAACTATATAATTTGAATAAGCTTTGCCTATAAATGTGTGATCACATTTACCATTGCTCTGAGTAATTTTGCAGATGAAGTAGGCTAATTTCAATAGAAATCTGAAAGATACAGAGTTTCACATGAGAACAGAAAAGTTTCCCTCTAAGATTCCACTTGTGTTCATGTTGGTCACATGAATTTGCCTTCTCGGCCGACAGAAAGTTGCTTGCTTTTACAGTGACTTAAGTGACCTATTTTCGCCCAAGAAATTTCACTAAAATGTTGCTAATGTGACCACACTTTCAGTGCCTGCTGCTATAGAGCCTGTTATCAATAAATATCACCTTAGCAATACATAAAATGCTTTCCTCTATATTGAAAGTGTTAAAAGTAAAAAAAAAAAAAAAGCAAATTAAACAAGGATGACATTAGAAAAAGGAAAATAACTGACAGATCTTCTGAAATCAGAGTGGTCCAAATGTGATCGGCACAGTGTAATCAGGCAGCGCTCGCACTAATTACAGCAGCGGACCAGTTGCACTCCCAATTACCAGCAAATACGGTAAAGCCTGCGTAGAACAATCAAGCACAGCATACGCTTGACTAAACTGATTCCCTATGCTGTTGTCGGATATCTTCTGCTGCAATGGGCCTCGATTGGAAACAAATACCTTTCGCTGACCTCCACCGCCGAATGTGGCGGCAGCCGAACAACCGCTGATTCACCCCCAACCCTCTCACTCTGCGTCCATGTACTCTATCTGCTACTGTGGCTAAATGTAATTAGAGAGCACATTAAACTTTGCCACAGCACTTTCCGACATCGTTTCCGTTCGTTTTGTTGCCTTTATTTGTTTTGCAGAGTGAGGCGTCCCACAGAGCGTGGAGACAAGCTGCCGTGTTCTTCTCATTACACATTCAGACTGTTTTTGTCACCCAGTCGACTAGTGCCTCCAAACAGCTGTTTTCCCTGGCAGTATAAATAAGCATTTGTTCTGACATGAAGGGGAAAAGAGGGAGAGAGATAGATGGGGTAGAAAAGCCAAGCTCTGAACAGGCAACATCGAGAAAAGGAGAAAGGATACCACGGAGGCTTTGTAGCAGGTAAAATATTCTTATTATAACCTCAATAGCCAAGCAACAGATAACATATTACGCTGTTGACTATTCAGTCAGGATGTTTAGAAGAGATTTGAATACTAACGCTGAGCATAAGCGTGGTTTTAGCTATTTTCAGCTGTGATGGGCCCTTCCAACTTATTGCTTGAAGCTGAAGTTGAGCTTGGCAGCTGAAATTTCTCTTTTCCAGAAACATATAAATAAATAAATAAATGGAGTCAGGAGTATCACTGAGGGGTAACAGGCCTTCACTACATCAAAGCATTGTGGGTACCAGACCAGTGGTACGGGTGTACAAATGCAATAGCACTTTTATTACAGGCCAGTAATGATGGATAACCTCACCACAGTAATGGCAATCCCAGCAACCCCATTCATTATTTATCAGCTGCAATTACTCATTTCTGTTGATATTTCTCATCAATTTCTACCCTTTTAACACTCAGTAATGCAAGTGAAACTCCTTAGTTATTTAATATAAGAAAAAGATGGATAACTCTTATGAAAAACTGTGCTTCAATTCTGTTTGGGAATATTTATTTTCCAGCAACTTGCATGCACCTCATTCATTGAACTTTGTGACATAAAAACAGCTCTAAATAAAATATTTGTAATCAAATTTTGTTGATTATGTTTTTGTTTTTCTTTCTTAAATTATTTTTACAACTGAGTTGTATGTGTCATTAAACAGGATAGTTCATACAAAATTAAAACTCTGTCATAATTGCTCAGCCTTGTGTCATTCCAAACTTGCATTACTTTTTCTTATGAAGAACATAAAAGACGATATTTTGAAGAAAGTTTCAACAATTTTTGTCCATACAATGAAAGTCAGTGGGATTCAAAACAACACTGGACCCCACTGACTTTCATTGTATAGACAAAATAAAAAGTAAAAATTTCTCTTCTTGTGATCTGGAGAAGAAAGAAAATGATACCGGTTTAGAAATACACGAGGGTGAGTAAGTGATGACAGAATTTTCATTTTTAGTTGAACTATCCATTTAAGGAAAAGATGATGACAGATAAAGCAGAACAAACCTGTAGGATCACGAATATGTGGAGGGGGTGTTCAGAAGATCTTCCACACTGTGATTCAACAGCATACTAATAGCCCTCTAATTAAACATCGTCTCCACTCAGTAGCTCTGAAGTTATCTGCCAATCATCCTGCAGGAACGCATCACATCCTGTTAGCTGCCAATCACGCAATGCTGAGTTCATGACAGGTGCCTGCAAAACCGCTTTCTTAAAATATGGACCTGCTTTGCTTCAAACCCACAGCTGGAAAAGGAACAGAAAGCGCACACATGAACGTCCTGCTGGAGTCCCATGCCATTTATGCAGATTAAGTGCATAATAAATAAGTAAAACTGATAGCTACTTTCAGACATTAGCCTGAGGGGATAAACATCTATTAGCAGATTAAACAAAAATAATAACGGCAAGTCACTCATCTTAAAAAGTAGGAAGTTAAAAGACGCCAAGCTAAGGGGGGATAAGTCATTTCAAATATCTTTTCATAACAATTGACAGAATTTTTCATGAAAGAGAAAAGAAAAACAACATTCTGCAAGTCACTCATCTTAAAAAGCAGGAAGTTAAAAGACGCCAAGCTAAGGGGGGAAAAGTCATTTCATATGTCCTTTCAAAACAATTGACAGAATTTTTCATGAAAGAGAAATGAAAATCAACATTTTCTTTATTCAGCTGCAGCAACAACAAAAACAAATTCAAAGGAAGTGACACTTAAGAGAGACGCTAACCACCCTTGATAATCTGCAGAACACCCTTAATTGAGAGTAATTAATTACATATTTATGGCAAGAATAGTCTCAGACAACAGAGCTAGAGAGTCCTAGCAAGCACGACAAAGAGAAGAGCTTGTAACACTCCAAAGAGAAAGGAAAAATTGAAATCGCATCATATGACCCCTTTAAGTGCGGTGAGCAGGTAGAAGCTGAAAGTGACAGCTGATCCTCTGGGAGCCATAACTCCGGAGAGTGAGGGCCATGGAGAATACAGGTGTGTGCACACAACTGGGTTGAAGAACTTGTGGTGAAGAACATATAATGGATTCAGGGTCTGACAGTGCGAGTAGACACATCGTTCACTTGTGCTTTGAAATCCAGACCAGTTGCTATCAAAGAAATGCTTCACACGCCAAGAATGAAACTGGAGACGAGCTGAAGATTTTACTGCACAGTCATGAGTACAGCAACTCAAGGAAAAGAGCTCCTGACGCTCAACAACTGATGTCCAACTTGCATACATCAGCAGCATCATGTGAGCCAAACATATTTGGACCCATTTTGGATTTTGAGTAACACACACTACCATATTATCAATGTTAAAAACAGTTGTGTGCAAACTGTGACATTTTTTTCAGGATTCTTTAATGAACAAAAAGTTCAAAAGAGATGTTTTTTTTTAAACTTAATTTTTTTAAGTTGACTCAACTTGCAGTTTATGAATTTGTTCATTCAACTTAATATTTTAAATTTTCACTGTCTCAACTAGTTCGTAAGTTGACAAAACTAGCAATTTGCCCCCTCAACTTAAAAAATGTGTTGAATCACTTTAATAACGATATCACGTTCTTAACGTCACTTATCGCGAGATCTCGTGAAGACTTGCAGAAAGACGTTCGTCAGTCATCTTCTCCACAGAGCTTGAAAATGTTCTCAAACCAACACATTTGGTAAGTAAATAGTTGTATCTATTGGTTTAACGTGTACAATTACGTATGTTGTCTAAGAAGAGTACAAGTATGGTTTACAGCGTCATATTTTCTAGTTAAATTTATGCCAGTGTTAGTTTCGCGGCACCCTTAAGCCTCAAAATACACGTGGTTTCACAGTATTTTTCATATAAATATTATATGGAAATATTTTCCATGTTTATGATATTCTGGAATGACTGAAGATCAGCACAGAATTCTTGTGGATGCACCTCAGCAAGTCCTTTTGCAGTTGTATCCATTAAAGTGCTATGCAGACATAATGGGAATGACTCACATTGTAGAGCTTGGACAAATTGTAAGTACATTTATTTACTTTTTTTAAGTGCATATATTTATTGGAGTCTGTGACTGTTAATATTGTAAGGTATATTTTAACACTTCCCTTTTTTTTATTAAAGCACACAGCTTCTCAAGAGGAATTCATTAAAGAGCAGGTCATATGGTATTTTAAAGTGTCCTAATATTGTATTGGAGTCCCCTACAACGGGTTTAAATGCATCTATGGTCAGAAAACATTGTAATTTTCTCAGAATATACATTTAATATTAGAGTCATTTGCCAATAATTTCGAAACTATTCGTTCCAAGCAAGTTCGGAGCAAACCCCTCCCTTCCATAAGCCTACTCTGCTCTGACTGGTCAGCTGGCCAAGCCTGCTGTGATTGGCACAGAGAGGTGTCCTTGAGCAAGTTAGCGAGCGCTACCATTGACAAAGCACCTTTGCATAAAACAATAATATAGTGCTCCAATCCGTTCTTATAATAATGACATAAAATACAAAAACACTTATGCAAGCGAATCGTGCCCACAGCTAAAGTTTAGCTGCTAAACTGTGAACACTTAAAACAATAATGGTGGATGCGTTAGCCAAGTGCTAACGTGACTAACTGATGAAACAATACAGTTTGTAAACCAAAATATGTCTACTGTAATGTGAAGAAAGACAGACAAAAGACACTCGGTCTTAACTTTTAATCAGAATGGAGAACCGCTGTATCACAGGCGCACCAGCCTAACTAACTCGCTCGTCTCTCCCGCATTAACCCTATAACTGCCGGTGCAGCAAAATAAACAGCAATTTCACAATGATTATAAAGTCGGTGTGCTACACTACATT